CTTCAGTCTAGTTGTGGAGGACATCGCTTTACCGGCCCATGTTGGTATTGTGATCATTGCACTCTTCTCGGGTGAGCAGTCGCTCTCTGGCAATTGCACAGCTGCTCACGGCGGCTCGCAGCAGTTCACGCAGGATGCTGGCCACTCACACTGGCTGCCGGCCATGCATAGTAGCTTAAGGCAGCCCACTGAAGCCCGCCTGCAGCCTATGCCATCGCCGGCCACTCACGGCAGCCCAGCTTCAGGTCGAGCTGTTGTTCACCATCTTAGCTGTAGAGGGCGCAGTGTCACTTGCCTTCATGTGGGATCTGAATCGGTGGCCCTGCTGTTCAGAGCTCGCACTCCCAAGCCAACTCTTAACTAAGGAGCCACCCAGCCGGCGCTTGAGCTAGTTTCTTAATCTCTCAGTGTTTCAGTTTCCTCATTCATAAAATGTGGATAATATCTCATAGGGTTGCTATGAGAATTAAATGTTTTAATACATATAATATGCTCTAAACAAGGAGTAGCACAATTAAGCTCTCAATAAATGCTAGATTAGTATTATTATATTTTTTCTAAAATAACCTTCTCCACTATGTCTGACTAATGAACTCTTACTCAACCTTCCTCAGCCAACTTGTGTTCATTTCTCTTTTAAGATTTTGCTAAATATCTCAGTCTTCTTCTGCAACTGCAACATCTTCTAAGTTACCAAGGTACTTTGAAGATACATCTATTAGTATACATTAAACAGTTATTATAGCTATTCATTTATATTTTGTTTTTCCTTCTACCTAGTCTTAAACTCTTTGAGGACCAGAGAGTAGAAGCTCTGAATCAATGTCTACGGAATGCTTTAGTCCCGGTCACGCTCATGGATCACTTGATACAGGGCATAGTGATACCTCACTGGGTAGCTGCTGTTTTGGAAAGGAATTTGCTTTATCCAAGGCCAGACTGATAGGGAATTTATGAAAGAGTTGTGTGAGTAGATGCTAGGGATTCCGGTAATGAAATCTCACCAGTTTGTTATGGAAATTGAATACAATCAGCTTGCCATGGGTATTTAATGTAACGTTTCACTGGGTACAGGAGAAGCAATTAGGCTGCTGAAAATTGCGTTTGCATTCCCCATAATTTAATACTGACCACTGTTAGCAGCATAAGATGTGACAGGACTGATAATTAATTTTGCATGCAATCAGTGTAATAAGAGGTGGGGGGGAAGCAAGGAGGGAAAAGCAGAGGGAAGGAGAGGGACCTGTATTCAGAGGTAGATTCAGAGGTACTTCCAAAGGTCTGATAATGACTTCTGCAGAGCCAGCTTCTGGGTAGGAGAAAACCCATCTAAAAATCCAATACTGAAAATGAGTTGCCATGCTTCACATGGAAAAAAAAATCATAAAGGCCATTCCATGGCCATTTTCTCTCTTGTGTCTCTCTTCCTTGAATTAAAGACTAATCTGGCTTCATTTACATTTATAAATAAGTGAACAGTAAGCTCCTCTAAGGTCAGTTACAAACCTTGCGCCTTCTGTTCTCATAATGCTTCTCCTTAAAAGAATTGCTTATTTCAAACACTTTGTGTGTATGTGAGTATATGTGTGTTCTGTCTCAATAGAACCATCAAAAAGTTGAACTGCCTTGAAGCATCTCTTATCTGTTCACTCTGTTCTCTATCTATCAGATTTCAAGTCTGGCATTTTTAAAGGACTTTGCTGCCTTCGAAGGTTGTTAACAACAGCAGCAGATACCTTTGATAGTAGTCAGATAATTGGGCACAAACTGCTATCAGACAGTAGAGCATGAGCCTTTTGATATCTGTATCTTTACATATATCTATCCACCTACGTATCTATGTATCTACCTGTCTAGCTATTCATTTATGTATGCATGTATGTATGTATGTTTCTTTCTATCTATCTATCTATCTATCTATCTATCTATCTATCTATCTATCTATCTATCTATCATCTGTTTATGAGAAATCCTTAAAATGCTAACATTGGGGAAAAAGTGATTTCAACTAAGTCTACTGCTAGATGAACTGCACTGTGGTGTGGTGGAGGCATCACCAGTGTGTTAATTTCAGCTCTGGTTTAGTATGTTTCCTGCTAGATTGAAATGAAGGTTGACTTAGAACTTTTCCTGATTCATCCCTATATATTGTGACACTACCTAGCTTTTGATGGGCAAAAGATGATGTTTGACATAAGTGAGTATGTATGAGTATTAGTGAATCAGGAATTGGTCAGTCAATTAGTTAGTCTCTTTTAGGATTTGGTAGGATTTGGGACCATACGAGGTTTTAAAAAGATCATTGGCCTACAAAGTTTCTGGTGAAAAATCAGTAGACGGTCTTATGGGAGTTCCCTTGCAGGTAACTGACTGCTTTGCAGGCCAGAAAGGGTTGGCACAAAATATTCAATGTAATGAAAAACGAGGACCTACAAATAATATTATTCTACCCAGAAAGGCTGTCATTTAAAATCGTAGGATGAAAAGCTTCCCAGACAAGAAAAATCTAAAGGAGTTCATCAACACCAAGCCAGTATTACAAGAAATGTTAGAGAGACTTCAAGAAGAAGAAAAAAAAAGAAAGAAAAATATGAATAATAAACTGGCAATCACTATATCTCAATCAATTATTAGTTTAAATGTAAATGAATTAATGCTCTAATCAAAAGACACAGGGTGTACAGCTGAAACTAATTATAAAAAATGTGTATTTCATAATAAAAATAATTTAATAAAAAAAAAGACACAGGGTGGCTGAATGAATAAGAAAACTCATACATATGCTGCCAATAAGAGACTCACTTTCAGATAGACACACACAGACTGAAAGTGAAGGAATGGAAAAAGATATTTCATGAAAATGGAAATGAACAAACAAAAAAAGCTGGGATAGCAATAATTATACCAGATAAAACATAATTTTAAAACAAAGGCTATAATAAGAGAAGAGGAAGGACCCAGTAATCCCAGTATGATTTTGACGCACAATTCGACAAATTTTTGCAGTGTTTTCATCAGTTCTGCTCATTACTGGCCACTGTGACCTCTCTTCATTAGTGACACGTTCTCTCCCCTCAGAAAAACGTTTAATCCATTTGTACACTGCCATTTTCTTCATGGCATTATCCCCATAAACTTGGACTAACATGTTTCCGATATCACTTTTACTCTTGCCAAGTTTAACAAGAAATTTAATGTTTGTTTGTTGCTCTAATTTAAGTTCAGACATTCTCATAACAGCACACAAAAACACGCAACGACAATAATGAATGCCACTCAGCAAGACACCGCCACACGCTGACACAAACACAGCTGTGAGACCCTGATATACCAGGTTATGGAACCTTAGTGAGCTGTTTGTACAGTGCTGCCAATGTAAGTGCATGGTGGCAAGTTTGCATACTTAATTGTCAGACCTTGTATAAATGTCTAATCATTATGTTGTATACCTAAAATAAATGTAATATTGTATATCAACTGTAATTTTTTAAAAAATATATATATACACATATATATACACACATATATATATATATATATATATATATATATATATATATATATATATATATATATATAAAATCTTTGGGCAATGCCATCAACTGGTATAACACTTGTCAATTATTTGTAAAACGAGAACTCAATGCTAAGGCCAATGTGAGTTATTTCTTTGCTCTTGGAACTGAGAAGTGGCTTGGCTAAAGAAGGCGAAACCAGGACAATGTCTGAGCAGCTCTCAATGTGCTTCCTGAGCTTGGAACATTCATACACAAGAGAGGCAGCTTGGAGTTAAACTCATTCCTGTTGGAGACAATACAATTGATTGGGACCTGAGCAAAGCTTATATATGCAGTAATTCGAAATTGTGTTGAGTGTGAACAACAGTGATACAAAAAGTAGTTGTATAAATGCTACAAAGATTTATTATCTCACATAAAAACAGTCCAACATTTGGTAGCTTAAGGCTGATACAGAATTTTCCACAAAATCATGTGAGACCCACATGCTTCTATCTTTATCTTTGTGTTCCACCATTCCTAGCACATGACTTCCATCCATAAAATTACTTTATGACCCAATATGGATGCCAAAATTCTGGTCATGACATCCAAGCAGCAAGAAAGGCAAAGCGTGTGTCCCTTGCACCTAAGTCAGGTCCCTTTAAGCAGCTTTTTTGTAGGTACCATTAAACACTTGAGCAGACATGTCTTTGGTCAAACTTTAACTTACATGCCCACTTAGTTGCTGGGGGGGAGGTTAGGAAATGTTTGTTCTATTTTAAAGCTGGATGCATTGTAATTGCAAATAAAATTGAGGATTTGGTAGTGAGACAATGGATTTCGGGTGGGAATTAGCAGTTTCTTTTACATGGTACCATAAATCCAGCCCAACTTTTCTATCACTTTGTCTCCTTCTGGGTGCCTCTCCTTTCCCTTGGAGACTGTCTAGTCACCAAAAAGAGATCATTGCCCTGCAGAGAAGGGATATATCCCTGAGGTATCTCTTTATCCACTTGGAACACGTTGCCAGGTACACAAGGCAGGCCCCCATGAAATGCTCACCACCCTGGTTCAAACACTGAGCACTCACAATTGGAAAACCATAAATAGAGGTGATAATGGTAACAGGGAGAAAAACAAACAAGAAAAGCAAAAGGAAAAAAAAAGAATCTAGAATCTTCAGGTGTCTCAGGCTTTATAATTTACAAAGCACTGGCATTAGCACTGATTCATTGGAGTTTCTGGATGCCTCTGGATTTTATAGGCTTAAATAATTGTGTCAAAGTCCAGTGCCTGTCTCTTTATCGCTATAGCATATATTTTTTTTCCAATTTAGCTCAATTTTCTATGTTAACAAGATTGAAAATCTCCTGATCACCTTAATAACTGATGTCAAAGAAATTATAGTCTTTATTCACCACTTAGTACATTCTGTGTATCACATTAGGCACGATGCATGCATATTTGAATTTGATCCTTGGATATTTCCCATTTTTTTAGATGAAGCACGTGTAACTTTCGCAGTGTCACATGGCTATTCCAAAAGCTACGATTCTATTCAGGTGACATGACTGCGCAATCCAAACTTCAAACCACTGAGCAATAATGCTCCCTACAGGTAAGAGATTTTCTCAGCACTGATTGGTGCTGTCTTGCTTTCTAATCCTCCTCATCTTCCAACACACTCAAATCACTGCGTATTTTGACCAGAATTATATCTCTTTAAATAATATGTGTCTATTTTGGTTAGTTTTATACAGTTTCATATACTTTGTAGATCATGAACAGTTTTGTATCTTGCTCTTCTTGCTTACCATATGCATTTTCTCTAATATTTTATGTCCACCTCTTCAGTAACTGAACACACATGTTTGGCTTGGCTTGCTCTTCCTACACTTTTTTAAAGAAAGGACAATATATTGTTATTACTAGCCGAACCTGCATCCTAAATTTGACTTTCCCCAATGTTGAGCCATTCCATTGTGAACTGGCCCAGTCTTTCCCCAGGTAACAATCCAACAACCCGTCAGCTGACTGTGCCACTTTTAGAAAAAAAACCCCACTCTAGAAGGGGCTGCATCACATCCCATTGGCTCATGGCTGTCCCAAAGGAAGACGTTACACCATTTTCAGGCATCAGCAGCTTTCAGCCCAGAGCTCATAGGATAAAGAATAAATAGGCCCTGTACTTGTCTTTAGCTCCACAAAGGCTTTGAGAAATGAGTAACTACACAAATGACTTTTAGTATGAAATGACTAGTTCTTTGCCGTGCTTCTTCGGGAAAGTGACATGGCAGGGGCTAGCATGCCTAATAAGAAAGAACATGAGTCTGTTGAGAAAGACTACCTTTACTCAATTTAGAAGTAGCTCAAAGTACTAAGCCAACCAGCACAGTTTGTGAAGCACCTGCGAATGCAAAATAATGTACCAGACTGTGTGGTTGGATTACCAAGAGCATCAGAAATGCTTCCTGACATTCATATTTAAATGAAATAACATAGGTTTAGAGCAGGGTTCTCAACCTTCCTAATGCCGTGACCCCTTAATACAGTTCCTCATGTTGTGGTGACCCCCANCCATAAAATTATTTTCGTTGCTACTCTATAACTGTAATTTTGCTACTGTTATGAATCATAATGTAAATATCTTTTTGTTTCCCTATGGTCTTAGGCGACCCCTGTGAAAGGGTCATTTGACCCCCAAAGGGGTCACGACCCACAGGTTGAGAACCGCTGCTCTAGAGCCTAGTGCTGTGACTAGCACGCAAGGGATCAACAAATGTTACTTCTTCCATCCTCCTTTTCTCATCCTTTCCCTTAAGAATTTTACATTTACATATGCTGTTAAGTCCAAAATAAAATTTAAATAGCCACACAAATGATTTCACATGTTAATTACCTAATACCATCACCGAAAGCTTAGTAAGTGCTTCACAGGACTTTGTAACATGTACTAAACCCGGATAACAACATGGTTTTTTTTTTAAGAAGAAATTGTTAAGAAGCGCTGCATACTTTTTAATTTTGTTTTGATTTTTCCATTCTCTGGGTATCAGAATCTTGACTCTAAGTTAGGTCATAGGTCATCATCAGCATATTGGATATGTCACTAGTTGTGCCTTCTAAGTTTAAATTCAAAATTTCTCTCACAGTAAGCTCCATGAAGTGAGGTAGCATGCTTGGGTGATTCATTTTTCTATTCCTCATGCTAGCAAGGTAGCTGGTTTAAAGTGATGTTTCATCAATATTTGATGAATATATGAATCAATAAAAATCAACTGAGTCCACACTGTGAAGGAAAAACTATACCATAGTTTATATAGTAATATCATTTACATAGGAGCACTATATAGAAATCAATAAGGGATGCCCAGTAAATTATCAGTCTCTATTTTCTCTTCATTAAAGGTTTAGTGATAACCTGTCACTAGTGTTGCCAGAGTTGATTTGTTTTGTTTTGTTTTTCTAGTTGCATGTGACAGAATTCCTCTTCTTGCTTCAAAACCTTATTATAAATATTTGCCTTTTCCTCTACATATGATCAAAGTAGCGTCTCTGTGTAGATGTTAATCAATGTATCAACTGATTTCTTTCTAAAACTTCTATCCAATAGGCTCATTCAAAGGCCCTATTCTCTGAAGGGACCCATATTCTGGTTTTGCAATTGTGGCAAAGAGATCTCAGGCTTTTTTGATGGGATGAATCACTTCCAGTTTGGAGGGTGGGCTGATAATGGTTTTCCCTTTTGCACATCCCTGGGACACCCATCATCACTCTTTTGGGTCACTCTTTCCATCCAGAATCATGTGGTGGATATTTTCCCACCCAAATTCACCACATTGAGTCAAAGTGAAGGAAACCTAGGGGTTGAGTTATGTGACTAAACATGAGAATGAGAAAGATCAGGAACTGGAACCTGGGTCTTCTCATTTGCAGTTCAATTTTCTTTTCACCATGATGCATTGCCTCTCTTTGAGGGACAGAGTCAACAAAAATCATGGCTCTATTGGAGAGGAGGGTCATTGTGAGTTGAATTATATAGGAGAACATATGGGCCCTAGGACTGGGTCTTGAAAAATGAGGCCTAAATAGGAAAAGGCCAATCAGTACTTTATCAATGCAGTACCTGACATTCTTACATAAAGTATTTTTTAAAAGTGTATGAACTAAAAAACAGTCAACAAATAAAAAGGTATTTTTCAGTTTTCATGTTTTTGGAATTGTGTCCCATTTCTATTTGGCACTTTTATTCATTAACATATTGCCCCATGACATAAGACACTAGAGGAGCCCAAGGCTGGCTGGACACCATCCATGGCCAGGCAGGGTAGCAGCTGAGCTAATACCAGCAGAAACTCATGGATATGAGATTCCAATCCTTATCTGTAGAAAGCCTCTGCTTCAATCTCCTCTACAAAATGGGGAGGTGATGTAGCTGCTACAGAGAGGTCTAGGAGGAAACGACTGCCAGTACTTTAATTTTCTTTTTTTTTTCCTCTTTTTAAGGGGAGGAAGGAAAAGATAACAGGGATCAATGTCTATCAATGCCAGATAAATCATTTCACCATCTCCAATACCTTTGCCAGTTTCTGTAACTTTCCCAAACCTTTGTCTCTCCGCTACTCATTTGTCACCAATCCAAACCGAATCCTAAAATGTTACAACATTATATAAATATTAGGAAAGACAAAGTGGGTTGTAATTTTACCCAAAGGACACCAAATCCTCAAACTTGCCTCTTCACCATTATTTACCCCAGAATATTTATATTGCTTGTACAAAATTTTGAACCTTGCTGTTTCCAGAAACACTTATTGTGTCTAATTTTTATCAAATGTCAAGGCAAAAATGCAAACACTGAATTGAAAGAAGAAGAAAAGTGTAAAAATCCAAGTATATTTATCAATGAAATCATATATCAGCAGCCTGAAAATATAATCAGAGAGATCCTATGGGAGTGGGGTGGGGAGGGGGCAGTTACAGGATCAGAGAACCTAGTCTGCTATAAAAAAAAACATGGAAAAAAAAAAGGTTTTGTGGATTAACATCTAAATATGTAGGTCAAGCTGCTATTTTCGATGTGGTCTTGAAAAAGTTTACTCCCTCTGCTTGAATTATCTAAATTCTATTTTCCCACCAGGAAAGGTATGTTCCTGGAAGAAGAAAAAAAAAAAAACTAAGTTACAGGCAAATCCTGAATCTCCCTCCTTTCGACTATGGGAGATGGTGGCTTCTTAAATTAAATTTGTCAATATAGCTAGAATATTGCACCTGGACCTACACAGTCTCCTCCTATCTCTCTGGGATTGAAATTCCACACAGTGCTGAAGATTTAATTTTTTCCAAGTGTTAGAAGTATGAATTGCAGGCCAGGAGGAAGGCTGTCTTTGTCACAACCCCAGTGTTTTTCGTCTGAGAAGACTATTCACAAGATTGACTAGTATAATGAACTTTTTACACAATGATTTTTGAAAATAAAATTATGTATGTGAAATGTGTATAAATCTTGCTTTCTGAATTCTGTTGTGTCCATCGCTTACATGGATAGCTTTCAAATGTGTTTGGCTGCTAAGTCCAAAAATAGATATATTTTATTGTGACACAGTACACACACACACAAATGCAAATAAGTATATGCACACATACACATAAACATACCCATACATAATTTAAGCAAAAGTTTCATGAAAGATTTACTCTTTTGTCTTAGTAAATTCACCAAACTGGATTACTTATAGTAGCACAAATTGTCATGGGCATCTGCAACATAACTGCCTCTGTTAAAATTTTCTTCCTTATTGTTTTCTTCTAGTAATACTTCACAGAAGAGTGTCCAAGCTGATCATTTCCATTTTGCCATACACAGTGTGCCTAGAACATTGGCACACACATATTTTATGTATTAATTTTCCCCATTTCACTGAGTTCCTTGAAAACTATGACTCTGGATTAAATATCTTAGCGTTTCCAATAATCAGAACATCATATGGCACATAACAGATGCTCAGCAAGTACCCGTTGACAATTCATTCATTGGGAATTTCAACATGCACACAAATCAGTAAAACACCAAAGACTTAAAAGCCCATGAGAGAATTATCCTACTTTGTAAAAATCAAATTCATGTAGAGTCTTATTAGAGAAAAATGTAACTGTGACGAGATGGTCCATCCTAATTGAATTGAGTCAGGTGACTGCCACTGGTTCCACATTTGCATTCTCAGACAATGCCAGCAGCTGCTGATGGCTTTTTAGTACATAAATAACCGGTTTTGAAATAATCGGAAACAATTGCATGAATGCAGTATATTTAGAATATCACCTGAAGACTGTGAACTTCACAGCCACTTCTAACTAACTCTTACTCTACAATAACCTCCATTACTATTGTTTTTTAACAAAGAAAAATTTATTTATTTTTATTTTTTTGGCCTCCTCAGTAGTTGAGTGTCCACTGGGGAACAGGAAGGAGGAAGACGGAAGAGGTGGAATGACTGCACATTTCATCATGAAGATTTATCTGGAGGTAACGAAAAAGACATTTGTTCATTTCTCTCCTGAGTGGGTTTTGGAGGCTTTCCAATGCTAAAACAAAAAGAGCATCATTAGCTAATTCCAGAATAGACAACTGCTACAAAGCTGCAGCCTCAAGTTCAGGCCCCTTCTACCATGGAAACCATGGCGCCCCTCCATCATTCTTGCATGAATAACCAACAAGAACTTGACAGCGTGCATCCTCCTATAGATCTTTCGATCCATCATTTTGGGTAACAAATGCCCACTTGTCTCCTGCCCCTTATTCCAGCCAACAAGGGTTTATAGCCTGGGCACCCACAAGGGTGAGGTACCAATGATGCTGCCCATCAAAGCTATGCAATATCTTGACAGCATACGCAAAGACGCAGGACCAGTCAAGCCAAATATGCCCAAGGCAGGATCCTATGCAGACCCGAGGACATCTTCTCTCAGACCCTTAGGAACATGCAGGATATCACCTAAGAAAATGGTAATCTTATCAGTGTTCCTGATGAAAATGCTATCTAAAATAACATTCTAAGAGTTCATCCCGACATAGGCCCAGGTACCACCTTGAAGACAGAGCCCCTAGATGACTATTAAGGAGTCGAGGAGACCACAGTGGTCCTGACACCCTCCCCCCACTCACATTCGCACGTGTTAGTGATAACTTCAGAAGAAAGGATCAGTCCTCATCAGACCATAAGGCAAGACTAGGTGTGCAGTTCACATTGAGTGTAAAATCAAATCATGTTTCTAAAAACTAAAATGAAGAGAGAGCTTCTGCTTTGAGATACAAAAGCAACAGGTTTTTGTTTGTTTGTTTGTTTGTTTGTTTTTCCCTAATACAAATGGTTAGATTAGGGCAGGTGTCTTAAACCTCACTTTCATCTTATTAGGAAAGGTTTCTTTGAATGAACTTTGGAGGGTATGAGGGAAGTTGAAAAAAATCAAATAGAAAATAAGGTTTTAAGAATTTTTCACTTACATTTATATTTCCTCTGTCCCACTCCTTTATAGCAGACTATTCCAACACCTATAAGGAAGAGATATCTCATAGAGTATAATAAAAACTGACCTTGGTTTCACCAAAATTTCATTAATAGGAGAAATTTCAACTAATTATGAAATTTATTTTTGCCCAAAATTCATTGACTACCTTCTCTGTGTGAAGTACTAATTAAACCTAAAGATGAAAAAGATTTGGGCCCTAATCTCCCCTCAAAAAGGGGAAAATGTGAAAAAAATGACAAAAATTATGTCTAACTGAAATAAGTGCCATAAGACATGCATAAATTAGATATTAAAGAGTGCAGGGAAGGGAACAAATATCCTGCTTCTCAGAGAAGGAAAATATGAACAAGGCATGAGCTAATCCAAGGTAAGCCAGAAAACCTGTCGAAGTAGAAGGGATAACATGGAAAAAAGGCACAGAGGCCTAAAAAAGCAGAAGATATGAGGGAACCATAAGACAAATGTGGATGCAGACGGGCTCAGGAGGAGATGAACTGGAGGTGAGACTCAAAACATGTATCAGTTGTTGAATCCCACAACAAAAAGATTGCAGGTGCGTGTACGTGTGTGCACATCTGTGCTCTCTCCCACTCCCTCGGCCAACCAAGTATCTTGACAGTCTTTTAATGAAACAAAATGATTATTCTGTTGTAAAGAAAACAACTTTGGGGAATTTGTGAATAATAGATTGAAGAGGGGGCAGTTCAGAGGCAAGGGTATCCGTTCAGAAGCATCTGGAATAGTCTTGGCAAGAAATGGAAAGGCTGAACAAGGACAGGGCCCTAGATGCATGCCAAATGTTGGTTAAGCAGGGCTAGGCTACTCATTGGTCTGAAGGTGAGAGATGAGTCAGGGCTGATCCCCAAAGCTCCCAGCCTCTCTCTATACAGGTGACATAAGCAGCATCTGGAATAAAGGACAGTGAGCAGACCTGAGTCACAATAAAGGGCCAAAAGGTCATTCCAGCAGACATACCTGTCAGGTAGTTGAAAATAGGATTACAAGTTCGAGTTAGGTAGGAATCATTCAAGAATTACACAGAATAGTTGGCCCCAAATGATACAGCTATGGAAAGTATATTTTAATGAAAGTTATAGAAAACGGGTTTCTCTCTAGCTTTCAAATATCTTCTAGGTCTTAGAGGCACTGGCTAAATCTTTTCTTAAATACCGGTTTTTCACAATGCAGCTTTTGTCTTTCGGCAACCGTTAGCTTATTCAATTCCCATCTCACAGAGAGCGGAGACGAGTAACTGCAAAATGCCACAGTGAACTGGCCTCGCACCTCCAGTACCTCAATTACACTAGCGGGGATGTGATCAGGAGGGCGATGGGGATAACTAGAAGCAACAGAAGATGAGCTAATGGAAAAGATCACTTTAAGAAAATAAGATAAGAAAACTGCACACTGACTGTAAATCTTGGCATTGAGAAGAAAGAGTTGCGTGAGCATTTGGTTGTTTTGGTTTTTTTTCTTGTTTTTTTTTTCTTTATTCCAAAATAAGTGAGACAGAAAGAAACAACAACCACTGTCAACTAACTCAGGAGCTGCTGTCTCTTGGAACTGTAAAATGGTCTTTCAGCCAGCACACTCTTGTTATGAGATAGCTCATTATGGCACGATTTCATATATACAACACATAATAACGACACGGCTGCTATGAAATTGTTGGCCCATAACTGGAATATTAATCTTGTCCGCACAACACAGGGATTATGAACACAGTGTACTATGCTGTGCTTTCTTTTTTAAATTTAGAGGCAGCACTCTTGCATTATGTGAGTAATATCTTGCTCCCAGATTTTTCTTTTAATTTTTTTTTAGGCTACTCGGTGCTTTAAATAAGTTTTAAATAGAGGGAATGAATTCAAAGAATGAAGATAAAAGTCTTGACCTCTGGCTTGTCTTGCAAAATAAGAAAATTTCACAGGACCGGACCAGCAATTCCCATGTGGTAATGACTGGTGGCAGCTGAACAGTGGCTGCCTCCTTGAGACTAGGTTCTCTGTGCCACTGTTCCTACTGCTTTCTGTTGTGTGTTTGACATGAAGATTAAGAGTTAGTGCCAGTCTTGCCTGAACTATTGTTTTCTTGGCCTCAGCCACAGCTGGCTCATTTATCTTACATGCCCCCTGTAGGCATACAAGTTTGTAACCTCTGTTTAAATGTAACGAGCAGAAGGTGACCTCTAAGATTACTTTAGAATGAAGACCATCATGATATGGTGTTCCTACCTGGAATGCAGTGCTCCGGCTGTATAACATGCTGGAACAAACAGTATACACTCTGTTGAAAGAGGGGTCAGGATGACATTTATAGAAACAAGGGCTTGACTGGGACAGAGGTACGAGTGTTGCACCTTGCAAATGAAGAAGGATAAAGTTCAAATAAAAGTGTGGGAAACTCAGGCTATTACCCAAAATGATGAAGAATATGAAGGATCTATTTGTCAGGTGGGATCAGAGTACAAAGTAGAAAGCATAGATAATTCCTTATCATATGGAAAGCTTGGGGATCCTTGGACTTCCATCAGAAACAATCTAATCCCTCATAGAAAGGGCTAGGAAGTTCGTAGAGGAAATCAGACCCTGATTCCATTCATTGGAGCTGAGAAGACCCCCGCTAATGTTGGAGTCAATGCCTTTCAGAGAAGACAGGTATCTGAGAAATGCTGTGTGCCCCAGAGACTAAGGCAGAAGGGCCAGGTAGACAGCCTGGCCATACCACAGGGACATTCAAGGGATGCTGTCTCTCTTTTACTCATATTTCTAAAGCATTTAGTGCTTCATACCTTAAGAAAGAAGTAGCAGTGACAATTTATCTGGAATGTCAGGATGTGAACATATATAGCAGAGCCTGCACACCAGTCTTAGGCTGTTTTAGATCCCTTACTTGTTATTACGCTGTAATTGATAGTGCCTCCTTATCAGTGCATGAACTCATATACACACACACTCATATGCACAAGCTGTATTATGAAGGATGATATGAAAAAGTTATTATCTTGAAATTTGAAACCACAGATTATTCCAGAAAAACAGAAATTTGTGGATAATGAATGAATCACAGGGAAGAAATGGGCAGCTGTAGTCCTTTGGCAGGCCTTACATTGATTTTATTGAGTCTTCGGAAAAGTCATGATGCATTTTGGCAACAGATGGCGCTAGTTCATTTTTGGAAGTACTAGAGTCATTTGCAGCTATGTGATTGCTATGTCATTTGATAGCTGACAGTTCTAGCTTCAGTTTTTTAAAAATTGAGTGATTTGGTTGAGTTTTGGAGATTTTACAACAAGTTGAAGATGGAAGACCGAACTGTGCATTTTTGCCATATTTTACTGTTTTAGTTCCATAAAGGAATGAACATGCTTCAAGCTTGTGAAAAGTTGCATAAAGTTTATGGTGACAATGCTCTACAAGAACGTCAGTGACAATGATGGTTCACGAAATTCCATGCTGGTGATTTTGATCTCAATGATGTTCCTCGGTCAGGGAGGCCCACCGAGGTTGATGACGACAAAATAAAGGCACTGACTGAGTCAAACCCACGTTACATGACACGAGAGATTGCAGAAACATTGAACATTTATCATTCAAGTGTTAATGACCACCTGAAGAAGCTGGGATATGTAAGCAAGCTCAATATTTGGGTTCCACATAAACAAAGAAGTTCATTTGACAGCGTGTATAAACATCTGCAATATGCTCATTAAACATGAAAAAAACCGATCCTTTTTGAAGCAACTGATATCTGGTGATGAAAAGTGGATTGTTTACAACAATGTGGTACGCAAACGGTCTTGGTCCCGACATCATGATTTGCCTCAAACAACATCGAAAGCAGACATTCATCAGAGGAAGGTTATGCTCTCATTGTGGTGAGATTTTAAAGGTGTCATGTTTTTCAATCTCCTACCAAGGAACCAAACAATCAATTCGAATGTATACTGTCAGCAATTGGACAGTTTGAATGAATCCATCATCCAGAAACGTCCAGAGCTTGTTAACTGTGAAGGAGTTGTGTTCCATCGCGACAATGCAAGACCACACACAAGTTTGATCACTTGTCAAAAATTACTGGAGCTTGGATGGGATGTGTTGCTACATCCACCATACTCGCCTGACCTTGCACTGTCAAACTTCCACTTTTTGCGCTCTCTTCAAAACTCCTTGTGTGGTATAACATTCAATTCAGATGAGGCTGTAAATCAGCACCTTCTTCAGTTTTTCACCAATAAAGACCGGTCCTTCTATGAACGAGAAATTATGAAGCTCACTGAAAGATGGCAGAAGGTTATCGAACAAAACGGGCAATGTATCACTGATGGATCTTTGTTCTTTATATAAACAAATGACCTTTAAAAAACAGACAAAATACATCATGACTTTTCCGAAGACCCAATATTATATCATTATGTCAGGGGACCTCCATTATCTTACCCTGAGATGTCCCCTTTTAATGATGATGCTATAAGGTACGAAGGCCACTTCCCCCAGAGATTGATTATCTCTCTATCTATCTATTTATCTATTTAATCGTCTCTCTCTCTCTTTCTCCTCCCCCCCCCCGCCCCACCACCTTCTGCACATTCTTACTTTCTGTCACTACAGGGTGCTCCAGGCTTGTCTTGTACATTCCCTGCCTGGTCCCAGAATTAGCCATTTCCGCCCCCACTCAAACACAGGTTCCTTTCATTAGAGAACTGCATTAGAAACCAAGACCTAGATGCTAGAATCCCTGGTTTTTAAAGTTGTCAGAAGGATTGGGAGTCTCTAGCCCAATCCATTCTCCTCGTTTGGTATCCTGCTCCATAAGTGAATGAGCAGAGCCTGCCTTCCAGCTCCACAGAGTTAGCTCTGTTGGCCTCACATTGCTCCCCTGCCGAATCACCTTATGCCACGACCTTTCCTTTGCTACTTAACCAGGGTAATGTCTTTGTAGAATCTAGTTTCTGACCTTAAAATATTTGTGGTTTTCTCTTCCTTTGAGTTTTATCATTACTTATTCTGCAATACTTTCTCCTGTAGGCTCTGACCTTGAGCTTGGAGCATCTGAAGTATGTATGTAGGTTCCACGTGGGATGGAAAATAGTCTCTTCCATTCCGAGACTATTCAGAGGACCTAAAGAAATCTCAATGGCCGCACTGGAAAATCTTGAAGAAGCTCACGGTTTACAAAGATATTAAAGATAAAATAAGGTTCACAAAAAGAGGGAAGAACAGAAAAGAATGCACACTCCTATAAGTAGACATCACAGCACAGTGTAATGAAAAGACCATGGACCCTGGCGTCAGACTGCCTGAATTCAAACTGCAAACCTTTTGGTTCTGTGTCTTTGAGCAAGCCACTTAACTTCTCTGAGTTCCAGTTTCTATTTTAATAAAATGAAGATATTAATAATATCCACCTAAAGCAGCTATTGTTAGTGTCAACTGAATAAATACAGAGAGTGCCAAAACAATGTATATACATTTTAAGAAAGGAAAAAATGGTACTAAAATTGTAATACTCAATATATACCGATAACAAAAGATGAATATGAGTCATGTGTATACATTTTTTTGGTACCCCCAGTACATGTAAAGTGCTCAGAACAGTACTGGGAACAGAGTAAGCCCTCTATACTTATGATTGTTGTTGTTATGGATACTATCAAGTAAACTGGAGACTGGAGTCAGCGTAGTCTTCACAAAGTCCAACAATAACCCATCAAGTTTTGTTTCACTTTGTTGCGTGTTAGGAGGGTGACATTTACAATCTGTCTGAAGCAAGAACAGGGGAGGTTTAACACTTGCTTAAAACAAAGGTGTAAAGGTACAGAAGCACTTCTTATGTTTCCTCACAGGAGAAATGATCTTCACACTAGGAAAATCACAATACACATGGTTATCAAGGAAGATACGCTCAAGGTATGAAAGGAGATAATAGGGGAGCAGTTAGGTTCTCCCAATGAGTTAAAGGATGAGGCCCAAATGCAGTGATTCTCTAGGATATTGAGACTTGTATATATGATTGTGGCACCACTGTTAGGAGCCTTTAATAATTATGGAAATAGATTTTTAAAAATGAAGGATGGGAAACAGCCCAATTTTTGAAAAGGGGACTGGATAGTGAGTAGTTGTCTTAAAATATTTGAAAAGTCAACATGGGGAGAACAATTACAACTTATCTATCTATTTCAAGACTACAGAGTTAGGCTCCATGAGTGTAATATAGGAGATAAATAGATTAAGAAAAAATTTTCTGAGAATTGGAGCTGTCCAAACACAAAGGAGACTTTTTCAGGAACCCTGGCAAGCTGGTACTATGCTGGCCCTCTCAGCTTCCTGTATAAAATTCTGTCAAATAGCATGCAAACCCCACCTGAACCTTTGGCAGAAGACCCAGTCACGGGCACATGAGGTAGATCTTCTATTGGGAATGTTCGGGAGAAAATTTCTGCCTTGGACATGAAATGGGAGTAAGGTGCTCTTTAAGATTCTATGATAACCATGACCTGACTTTTTGAAGATGATGTTGCACACAAAATCCCTGACTGCATCTCTACCATCACAATGGAATTTCTCTCCCAAATCTTCTGCACCAGTGATATTAATGCTGCAAAGAAGATTGTGAGCTTATCTATCCTTACAAAATATCTTTTCTTTTCTATTCAATGTATATCTGTCTTAAATCTCACAAGATCTTTCACTTTGCCATGCCCCCCACATCACTACATATTGATTTGGGAAAAAAAATTATCTCCTGCATTTCATTTTCTTGTTTGAGTATTCAAATTTTAATATAATTATTTAGTGTTTATGGTGGGGGTTGGGGAGGCTTTGGATAAAGGATCTTCCAATGGGTATCTTGGAATGGTCAACCTTTGATGTTCAATTGCATCTTAGTCTTTGTGCCTTGAGATCAATCAGTTTGGCTCAATCTCCTCCTCTGCCTATACATTTTACCATCAAAGAAGACTGACTTCAAATGCCATGTTTGCGTTTTTTTTGTTTTTTTTTCCACAGGCCCAAGGGCCTGACTTAGTCTTTGTAATATTTACCTAAGTTCTCAGAAAGGACTGTCTTCTAAAACAAAGGATCACGCTGACCACTACTTTCATTCAGCTCTTTCTAACACTAACAGGTAAGAAAATGCGGAGGTAACGGATTTTGTTGGGACCAGTCAACCAAACTGGAAAATAAATAATAATAATGATAGTAATACAAATGGGACATTAGAGAGCATCGTGGGGAGGAACTAAGGTTTCACTAATAACATTGTGCTTTATGTTTCCTGTGGATCTCAAATGATTTATCTACTTACTAAGAAACAATCACCTGACCTTCTTTGTTTGTTTTGTAGTATTGAAAGAAGAAGAGAGAGACTTGTCCCAGGAGTAACATTCTCTTATGCAAACTAATGTAAATCATACATCTCTGTGTTGAAAGCTTGTCTGACAAGCACTTCTAAAGCACAAAACAAATCTCATAACAGGTTAACTTGCGCTGGGAGGTTGTTGGTAAAGAACTTTTTCAGAGAGGGCTGCAACATAACTCCTGTGTAAGAAAAAAATAATACCCAAATATTACGGTGTATTAAGAGATTCGTGCTAGCTTAAAACATTGTTTCTTCTCCTCTCAACCAGGGGCAATCTTTTGATCTAATCTAAGTGGTAATTTTAATGTGAGTGGAAGAACTGAAAGTTTTGTACAGAGTGTAGAAAAAAGGACTGAGGTAGTAGAGAAACGAGATCTTCCCTTCAACAGGTAGAGGATCAATTCAGTAAGCTGGTGTGTGTGTCAGACTCACTGCTGTATGTGTTTTAAAAGCTATGATTCCATGTGGTCACTAAGAAAAGATAGAAATGTAAAACTTAGGCTTTCTTCATTCAGAACAATTTGAGGACCTGCTATCTACTGGGTATTTTCATATTTCTTGTTTCTTTTAGATCTCACTGATTTTGACACCCCAAATTTCCCTACTAGATATAATTTTTAGATGAACTAAACTGAAATTTAGAAAAAGCAACTTCCCCCAAGGTCATGCAGCAGTTACCTGGAAGAACCAGGATTCAAACTCACATCTTTGCAACTATATTACTGCCTTTCTGCACAATGAGCTCACCGCCCTTCATAATGCGCATTTCCCAGATCAGAAAGGAAACATAGGGAAACGATCCTTAAACCCCTTGCCAGAAAGGATGTACTACGTATTATTCAAAGTAGAAAGGCAACCATAGGAGAAAACTTTAAAGAATGGCATAATGGGCCGAAATGAATTGCCAAGCCCAAGCCTGGTCCTCATATATTGGGAAAGAGGCCCTTTACCTCATGGAACAGGCCATGAAGAAAACGCACTGTCTTCAGATTTGATGAACTATGCTCAGCCGTGGATTAGTATTTTCTTTATGAAACCATAGGAGAATAATTTCCACACATTTCAGAACATTCTAGATCCGCTCTACCCAATAGGAATATAATGTGAGCCACCTATATGATTACAAGTTTCCTAGGAGCCATCTTTAAAAAAACAGTACAAAGAAACATGCTAAATTAATTTTAATAATCCATTTTATGTAAACCAATCTAGTCAAAGTATATTTTCAGCAATTAATTAATATGAAATTATTAATGAGATAACATATTTTTTATTACTAACTCTTCAAAAATCTAGTATATATTTTATACTTAGATTGCACATTGCAATTCAGATGCTATATTTCAAAGCTTTAGGTAAAACACAGCCTTATCAGAATAATAAAGTTGTGTTTAATGGAAACTATTTTAAACTGCTTCTGTTTTTATATTTCAATTTAAATGGATTATACTTAAATAAATTTAATACTGATTTCCTTATTCACACTAGCCATATTTTAATTACTCAATAGCCAAATATGTCTAGTGGCTGTTATATTGAATAGCACAGTTCTAGATGAGCAGATAGTATAAGCGTTTTCCATACCACATCTAAGACTTTCACAGTGAGCAACTATGACAATGAAAGCTAAATCCCATACATCCAATGCAGACAGAATGGCAGTCAGTCATTGTAGATAACTATTCCATATCCCTTGTTATCTCTTGATAATTGTCTACAATACGAACAAGGTAATACAGACAGGTGGTCTGTTCTTCCAATTCTATTGTTTTAAGGAACATTAGTACAGCTGGTTGACTAGAGAGGGGGTGGCACCGACAAATACAAGCTGGCTCATGTGAGACTTACACTCCATGGATGACTTTTCAACTGTTCATTGTGGAAGATATTTTTAATGCTGTCATAGAATCAAGAGCTAAGGAACAAACTACTAATTTTCAATTACAATATGTATATATGATGTCAGCTGTGTGGTACCCACAATTGCCTCAAGTGTTGAATAAGCTACACACAAGTAATCTTGGAATTGTCTAATATAGAGAAAAAAAAGAAGTAAAATCATAATGTCTTGGAAGGAGATGAAGCAACCAGCCATGTTTAATAAACACAAGCTTCTACCTAACAGAGACCCCAAGACACTCAGATGAGCTCAAAGGCTACTTTTGTTACCTGTTGTGCAAACTCTCACAAGCTCAGACTTTTTCCTCCTTTCAGCCACCCTCCCTAAGCTTATCTCCCATAGACTTTTGGGCCATTTTCACTCAAGACCCGGATCCCTCTTTACTCTGGGAGAAATCCCTGAAGCCCCAAAGTGATGAGAAATTGATGCTCAGAATAGCAATTGCTGAAATTCTCTAGGAGCTGGAATTTCTTCTTAGACTTGAGATGGCACTTATACTACTGTTGACCATAACTTATTCCAGGGACCATCTTCATTTAAAAGGATGCAGACCTAAAAGGATATATTTATTCTAAAGGATACGGTATCTCTACATTGTAATTCATCATTTTTTTCTTCGTCCTCAAATATCTCAAGGATCCAACACACTCTGATTAGTATCAGTGGCTCTCTGTGGCACTGGTTTTCATCAGAGCTGGGAAAGGATGTGTAATTTAAACACAACCCCAGCCTCAATGATTCTGATAGCCTTTCCCCCACCTGCTCTAGAACGAGAACTACTAAAATATCAATTTATGTCCTGTAATAGCTAAATTATATATACTTAGACATTGTTTTCAAAGAAACTTTACACTGAGAAGAATGTGTCATTTGTCAACAAATCTAGTATGAAAACATCCTAATTTACAAAACAGAGATGTCAGTATTGGTTTTTGCACCATACAAGAAAACTTCAAAGGGTTTCTCTAAGCCATGAGTTGCCCTACAACACTTAAATGATTATTAGACTTTAAATAAAATGATTGACACATGGCACATTAGGAGGATGTCTACTGTAAAGTTAAGTGCATCTGTTCCCATAATAATAATTATATGTCCTGAGT